TCTTATAGAAATGTTCTTCTCAGTTGCTGCCTTCATATTCTCTGCTCCACAGCAGCAACCTGAACAAAAGGAAATGCTGGTGAGGGACATGATGACCTTATGAAAACAGAATATCTTCACCATAAATGTTTATCTGTCATGACTAGGCCTGATTCCAGTAGCTCAGTTGGTGAGTGTGTGGTCCCTATGCACCAAGGTTTTGGGTTTGATCCCCCATCTAGAGAGAACCAGTGAAAGTAGAGATGGGTAGAACAGCAGATCAATATTTCCGTCTCTCTCTTTCTCTGTCTCCCTTCCTGTCTCTAAAATCAATAAATAATGGATGGCTAGTATGGCTCAGTGTGATTCAACATCAACCCATGAACTAGGAGGTCACAATTCAATTCCTTGTCCAGGCACATGCACAGGTGAAACATCTGTACATTGAACACTATAATACAATGATGAAAGGAATGGAAGAAAACACAAATAAGTTGAAAGACACCCTGTGTACATAAATTTGAAAAAGAAATATCGTGAAGATATCTATAGTACACAAAGGATCTACAGAATAAATCTAATCACGGTGATCACTCCAATGGTATTTTACAAAGAAATGAAAAGAGAATCTTGAAATGTATGGAACTGAAAGACCTCCACTAACAAAAGCAATCTTGAGCAAGAACAAAGCTGATGGCATCAGTTTATTGCAAAGAGAAAACAAGCGAAGAGTGTGCTGCTGCAGAAACACAGACACATAAATCAATAGTACAGAAGAGAAAACGCAGAAATAAACCCAGGCACATATTTTCAAGTAATCTTTGACAAAGCTGCAAGACATGGAAGAAATGTGTCAATGAATGGCATTGCTAAAAATCGATATTCACAAGTAAAACAAAAAGAGTGGACACCACTTCTAAAATGTAACTCAACCTGCAGGACAGAATTAAATATCAGCACTCAAACTTAAAACTCCTCAGGACAGCCCAGAGAAAAAGTTTTGGAGGTTTGATTTGGACAGGATTTTCTGAATGTGACACCAACCACCAGACAAAATAGAAAAAATAAACAGTCCACACTGCAACAAATAAAGAAAAATAGCTTCTTCACAGCACAAAAAAAAAACAAACAAAAAAAAACAGAAAAGAAAATTAATGAAAAGGCAATCCAGAGGATGAGAGAAAGTATTCGCAAATCATATGAAGGAATCGCTTGGAGATATTGTACATTCAGTTCTGATCAGCATAATAAAGCGAATACTGCGATACAGACAGAAATTCACACAAATAGTTGGAGTTCCCAGGGAATAATAAAAGTATGTTAAAACTATATTGCAGGCTAATAACAAAGCAATGACTCTGTCTCAAAAGCAAGTTCCATATAACTTCAGTAAAGTACTTTAATGCTTTGACTGGAAGCTCGTAGATATTTAAAGAATCTTGGTCAAGACTTTGTCAGATTACAAATACTAATCCACATTAGTTCCTTGTATACAGAGCCTCCAATGCCACTGAAAAGATAGCAATAAGATTCATAAATGAAAAGCATCTAGAGGTAATTTTAGACTTTAAAATTTCCATGCTAATAACCACTTTGCAAGCTCAGGCAGAAGTATCATTCAATGCTTCACTAAAGAATTACTCTGAGGAGTTAGGCTTCCAGGACATATAACAATGCTCCCAAGAGACTGGGCTCACCAGATGGGATTGTATTTTGACAGATCCTTCTCTGGGGCTGTTCAGAAACTGTACCCTGTCAATACTCCTAGATGGTGGGTCGTGTGACTACAATCAATATTATAGCTGGAATTGCATTATGTTGCTCTTTCTATATTGGCTTAGATACTGTGCGTAACTATAAGAGCTGAGATGTTGATGAATATGAAATCCAAAAACATAAAGAATGAAATATGGCCGAAACTGGTTTGGCTCAGTGGATAGAGCGTCAGCCTGTGGACTGGAGGGTCCCAGGTTCGATTCCGGTCAAGGACATATACCTTGGTTGCGGGCACATCACCAGTAGGGGGTGTGCAAGAGGCAGCTGATCGATGATTCTCTCTCATCCATGTTTCTAACTATCCCTCTTTTCCTTTCTGTGAAAAATCAATTAAAAAAATATATTTATATATATAAAGAATGAAATATGTCTATATGAACCCTGTTTTAAGACTGTACTGGATAGCCCTAGCCAGTCTGGCTCAGTGGATTCAGTGGAATTGAAGGGTCCCAGGTTAGATTCTAGCCAAAGGCACATGCCTAGATCACGGGCTGCATGCCCAGTGTGGGTGGGCAGGAGGCAACCAATCAATGATTCTCTCTCATCATTAATGTTTCTCTCTCTCCCTCTCCCTTCCTCTGTAAAATCAATAAAAATATATTTTTAAAAAATGTAAAAAAAAAAAAAAAAAAGACTATCCTGGAAAGGTCTTATTATTCCCTTCCATGCGAAAATATGTAGGGTGGGGCAAAAATAGGTTTACAGTTATTCATTTGGAAACTCTATCTAATAGGGTAATATGCAAATTGTTCAGGATACTGTCACAGTAACAACCAATCAGCAGGCTGTGGGCGTAAGCCTGGGCCTGGGGTTAGGCACATGCCTACACAGAAGGAAGCCTCCACTGTCGCCCCACCACCTAGGGTCCTCAAGCCTCCACTGTGACCAGGCCCAGGGTCTGCAGATCTCCGGACTACCTCCTTTGAGCAATCCATCAAGGAGACCTGGATGGGTGGGCGGGGACTACCACTTTGGCCAATGGTTCTGGGGGCTCCTGCACTATGACAGGGCACAGACCAGGCTGGGGATTCCCCCAGCCTTGGAGTACACAAATTTCATGCACCAGGCCACTAGTAATATAATAATTAATAAATATTAACAGATACTCTAATTCCTCCATTTTTCCCATTTAATAAAAGTTTTTAAATTGTAAAAAATAATAAAAACTAAGAATACATCCTAACCGGTTTGGCTCAGTGGATCTAGAGCATTTGTTGGTCTACAGACTGAAGGATCTGGCTTTGATTCCAGACAAGGGCATGTACCTTGGTTGTAGACCCATACCTGGTGCTGGATGTGAAGGAGGCAGCTGATTAATGTTTCTAACTCTATTCCGCACCCTTCCTCTCTGTAAAAAATCAATAAAAGTGTATTTTAAAAAACAAAAACTAAGAATACAAGAAGAAACCCATGTTTCACTTGTAACTTTAAGCCTATTTTTTTCCCTGTTCTGTATACACCGTATATTTCATATCATAAAATTTAACCTGTTGTGTAATTGGTTTCTAGCTCTTCCTCCAAAAGACATAGCTAGTAGATGCTGTAATTTACACAGGCTACAAACTCTGCATTTAGAAATGTGTATGTCCACCTCTTGATCACAGTCACTGACTAAATCCCATGCAGAAAAAGACAATTAGGAAACATTCAATTTGATTTTTTTTTTAAATACATCTTATGTTGCAGATTACATCCATTTTCTGTATTCATTTGTTCTTCTAGAAGTTAATACAATGTGGAGTCATGTTCATGATTATGTAAAAAATGTTTATTGAAGTGATTACAATAGTATTTTGTTCTAATACTTGTAGAATTATCTTTATTTTCCTAATTTCTTTTTAAAAAAATATATATTTTATAGATTTTTTACAGAGAGGAAGGGAGAGGGCTAGAGAGGAAGAAACATCGATGAGAGAGAAACATCGACCAGTTGCCTCCTGCACACTCCCTATCAGGGATGTGCTCACAACTAATGTACATGCACTTGACCAAGATCGAACCTGCAGACTGATGCTCTATCCACTGAGCAACACCGGTTTCGGCCTAACTTTTTTTTTTAACTGTACAACTATAAAAACAAGAAATGTTCTCCCATGTCTTTTTAAAAAAAAACAACTTAGCTGAAACCGGTTTGGCTCAATGGATAGAGCATCGGCTTGGGGACTAAAGGGAGCCGGGTTCGAGCGGTCAAGGGATGTACCTTGGTTGCAGGCATATCCCCAGTAGGGGGTGTGCAAGAGGCAGCTGATCGATGACTCTCTCTCATTGATGTTTCTAACTCTCTATCTCTCTCCCTTCCTCTCTGTACAAAATCAATAAAATATATTTTTAAAAAAAGAAAACTTAATTTTTTATTGTAAAGTATTTGTAATACTGCAAAGATGAATCCTATATAGGTACAATGAAAATCATATCATAAAGTTTTTTTAAAATATATTTTATTGATTTTTGTACAGAGAGGAAGGGAGAGAGATAGAGAGCCAGAAACATAGAAGAGAGAGTAACATTGACCAGCCGCCACCTACACACTCCCACCAGGGATGTGCCCACAATCAACGCACATGTCCTTGACCAGAATCGAACCCGGGACCCTTCAGTCCACAGACTGACGCTCTACCACTGAGCCAAACTGGTTTTGGCCATATCGTAAAGTTTTAAAAAATATATTTTACTGCTAAAAACTAGTAACAAGTATCTGAACTTGTCAGAAAAATGATGGCCAAACCCAGGGTTGCCAGAAACATGGAATTAATAAAAAAGAGGACATGGGGGAGCAATATCTGCAAAGCACATTTAAACACATGCAAAAACATGTGTTCCTCTACCTAATAGGCAATTAATCTATAAAATAAACAAGGTATTCAAAAGATTCTTTAACCAAAAAATACAGTTCGTAAGCAAGATGAGGATGTAGAAACAATTCTTCAAAAACTATGTACAAATGACCAACAGGAACATAAAAAATGCTTTATTTACTGATCCAGGTGGAATCCCTCAGGCTTCCTGCAACACTACCAACCACAAGTCCTTCCCTGTGAATGTAGTCCAGCGGGGAGAATTGGAACTTCAGGAATAGAGGGGAGCTGTGAAAACAGACCAACCCTCTCCAGGACAGCAACTACCCAGGAAACTGGAAAATCAAGCAGAACCACAGTCTATTTGGGAGGACACAGCACACCCTGGAGGATGGGCCCTGGGAAATCCCAAAGCCAAGTCCAGGTCACTGCTGACAGTGAGGGTCTTACCCAGCGAGGACACAAGTTCAAAGTTCTCCAGCATCACATTCAGGTACAGCTGTCTCTGACCCTCATCCAGGAGGCTCCATTCCTCCCTGGAGAAGTACAGGGCAATGTCCTCCAAGGTCACGCCAACCTGTCAGAATGGAGACAATTGAAACCATAGCTGTCTTTCTGAGAACCCCATTTCTACTTCTTACACACCTTCCCCCCTCAACCTCCTCCAGGGCAGGTTAGTGTGAACACCAGGCTCTAATGCCAGTGCAGGCTGCTGTCTCATCACAGTCCCATTACTCACTGGGATTGCCCTCAGCAGAGCAGCTGGGTTGGGTGGGAAGGATTGGGAGAGTGGAGGGGAGAGAGCAATGCCATTTAAGCTCTGGGAATGTCTGCAGGGCCCCAGCCTTCCTGCCAAGCAATCCCACTGCAGCCTCCTAGATCAGGCCTCCCAGACAAAGCCAATCCTGAATTTACGCTTCACCTTTATGTCCCCACACCAGGTCCAGGGAACAATCAGCTCACACTTCCTCCAGATGTGCACACACTGGGTAATGTATATCCCCTTTCCATCTTCAGTCCCGGGTTCACTCCCTCAGCTCTGCCCCCTTCCTGCTCCAATGCCACTGGGTCTCGCTGGGCTCCCCATGAACTTGGCACATGGCATGTGGAGAAGCCTGTCTTCCAGCGGGTCCAGGACCACCCCCGGCCCCTGAGGGACCCCACAGCCGGGAAAGCCCCCATGAGGCTGTGAGTCCTCCCTGCAGCCTCTGATCTGCCCGCCGATCCGCACAGCCACACCCTCAGGGGAACCTCAGAGGCCGGTCACCCCCGTCCTCTCCGCCCCGCACTGGCTGTGTCCTCAGAAGCCACCGCGCTCCTCCCTCCCCTCCACCTTCCTCACGGTCCTCCCCGCGGGCGGAGCTGCAGGAGGGACAGGCCCGCACCGGGCTGTGGGGTGCGGGGTGAGGAGGCGGGGGGCCTGGGGGACAGGAACTCACCTCAGCCACCCGCGTCCACACGGGCGCCGCCATTGCCCTCCGTGGGCGCAGCGGGGCGGGAGGGGCGGGAGCGGCAGCCGCTGCGGGAACGGCGGCGCCTGTCCGGGCCCCGACGCGTGTGGTGCGCGGGCTTCCTGCACCCCCGGAGGCTCCCCCCATGGGCTGTGAGGCGGGAACACCGCTCTCCTGCCTTCTCTCTGTGACCAGGAGCTCCTGACCGCCTGAGACAGACCTGACAGAAGACAAAATCCCGCCTGCCAGACCACGGCCCCGCCCCACAGAACCGGGGACCGGAAATGCCTATTCTGAGCCTCCATTGGCTCAGCCTGGTGGCAGCCCATGCATGGCCTTCTGGGTAATGTAGTTCCTATGCCCCGAGGCCAGGATCCTTTATTTCCTCTGCTTTCTCCAGTGGATTTAAGTGCAAACAGCCCAAGAACATGCCATGTAGGCTCAGGGCAGTTAGACAGACTGGAGCAGAGCATGGATTGGAGGAGAGATGGGCCCTGAGACGTAATTCTCACCACTCCAACTCCTTTGAAGCTGGCAATAGGGGAACCTGTGTAGAACTGACATTTAATTCTAAAGACTTAGAAAGAAGGTAGACATATCATAGTTTTGACATAATAGAGGGCAGAGAGGCAAAGGAAAAATAAATTGACAAACTGAAGGGTTTGTGGAAGGAGCAGAGGATCTGTAAAGAATTAGAGTTGAGGAAATAATAGATTCTCTCTCATCGATGTTTCAACTCTCTCTTCCTCTGTAAAAAAATCAATAAAATATATATTTAAAATAATAATATCGATAATAGTAATAATAATAATAGCTCATGTCGCTCATGGCAGCGGCTGCTGTTGGGGTGCAGTGGGGCAGTGACTGAGCTGGTGCCTGGTGGCGGGCTTGAGCAGAGCCTGGGCCTGGCCTCCCTGTACCTCCCGGGCTCCAAGCCCCTGATGCTGCTCCCGTGCTGACCCCGCCCGGTTGGGACAATGGCGAAGCATTTCCTGGGCCACTGCGTGCTCCAGACCGAGTGTACCCGAATCCCTATAGCAAACATGTCTTGACGGAAGACATAGTGCACTAGGAGGTCACTCCTGACCAGAAGCTCCTGTCCCGGAGACTCCTGACCAAGACCAACAGGATGCCCTGCTGGGCTGAGCGACTATTTCCTGCCAATGTTGCTCACTCAGTGTACATCCTGGAGGATTCCATTGTGGACCCACAGAACCAGACCATGACCACCTTCACCTGGAACATCAACCACGCCCAGCTGATGGTGGTGGAGGAACGATGTGTTTACTGGACCGAAATCCACCGGGAAGCTTGGGTCTCCTCTAGCTTATTTGGTGTCTCCAGAGCTGTCCAGGAATTTGGTCTCGCCCGGTTCAAAAGCAATGTGACCAAGTCAATGAAGGGTTTTGAATACATCTTGGCCAAGGTGCAAGGGGAGGCTACTTCCAAAACCCTAGTTGAGACAGCCAAGGAGAAGGCAAAGGAGATGGCACTGGCAGCTACAGAGAAGGCCAAGGACCTCGCCAACAAGGCAGCCACCAAGCAGCAGCAGCAGCAGACCAACGCAGACCCTGTGCGGCAGCGCACCACCCCACCTGCTGCACGCCCTCTGCCCTCCCCCTGTATTTCATTATTAAAAATCAACTTCCAGCCTGAGCTACTCTCTGGGTAGTGGGTTGGAGGTGGGATCTGTCTGGCATCTACAATGCATCAGACAGGCTATCCATGTCTGGGCCAGGCCTGCTTCTTCCTGCATTGGACGGCTGCGGAGGGATTTGCTAAGGGTCACAGACAGCATGCAGGCAAGGTGGTCATAAACACTAACTAGACTGTAAGCTCCATGAGGGCAGGGACCTTTTTGTTCTCTGCTGTGTCCCAAGCATCTGGAACAATATCTAGCTCATAATAGACACTCAATAAATGTTTGTTGAATTAAAAATAAAATAAAATAAAATAAAATAATCGCTCATGTCTACTAACCTCCAGGCCTGCATGTAGCTACATTCCTCACCCTAGCCTTTTCCCTGTTATAAACCTGTTCCCTACATTTGTTAGAAGGCAGGATCTAATGTTGGCAAGCACCCTTTGTTTTGTGTTTTTGTTTTTTTAAAAAAATATATTTTATTGATTTTTTTTGCATAAGAACAGACATATAGACCAATGAAATAGAATAGAGAACTCAGAAATAGACCCAAACCACTATGTTCAATTAATATTTGACAAAAGAGGCAAGAACATACTATGGAGTCAAGACAGTCTCTTCAATAAATGGTGTTGGGAAAATTGGACAGATACATGCAAAAAATGAAACTAGACCAGCAACTTCCACCATACATGTATCATCCTTTGTATTATTAAAGCTTTTGTCATATCATATATTATTTTCATTAGCAAATCATCCCATAACAATGGATCGTGTAAAGAAGAATGTTAAGAAAATATAGCCAAAACCGGTTTGGCTCAGTGGATAGAGTGTCAGCCTGTGGACTGAGAGGTCCCACGTTCAATTTCGATCAAGGGCATGTACCTGGGTTGCGGACACATCCCCAGTGGGGAGGGGGGTGCAAGAGGCAGCTGGTCGATGACTCGATGACACTCTCTCATCGTTTCTAACTCTCTCTCTCCCTTCCTCTGTAAAAGAATCAATAAAATATTAAAAAATTATTGTTCTTAAAAAAAAAAAGAGGCAGCTAATCGATGATTCTCTCTCATAGATGTTTCTAGCTATCTCTCTCTCTTCCTCTCTGTGAAAAATCAATAAAATATATTATATAAAAAAAGAAAAAAACAAAATATTCATAATAAAGTATAGCTATTGGTGGTATATTCAAAAGTCAGAAAAAAATGAGTTACTAATATATCTTTAATGAAACTCTAAGTACTTATGAAATATAAAATAAAGCAGGAAAATACTTAGAAAAAGCAAAGTTCTCTATAAAAATGGCAAGTAAATCCATGATTACTGGGAGAGCTGTGAAGAACAGGGACAGATTAAATAAGGTCATGAAGGAACTACAGTGACAGATATGGTCAGCATTATCACTATAATGATATTTTCAGTTTCATGCACACAAGAAGATTTACAAAATACTATACTAAACACGTATTTTACTGATTATAGCTTTTAAAATTGGTTCAAAATTAAAAAAACAAAAACAAAAAAACACGTGTAAGTTCAAATATACTGAAAAAATAGGTTTGGCAAATCTATATTCAATCCACCTTCTTATGCTCTCTGGGTGACACTTTCGCCTCAGTGACATAAAATATAACAAGCAATGAAGAACTTTTCACCCAAACCAACAAGAATGCTGCCTGAATCATACAAGCTCCATCCCTAAACTACAGACACCCTTTGCCTCTGTTCTTCCTTTCCTGCCAGCTCACCAATGGCTCCGAGGTGAACATCTGAGGATACAGGAAGCCACAAAACCTCTTGATTATATTCAATGACAATGACTGTGTCCACAGAAGATAAACATGCCTGGAGATCCTCACATCTGTGTATACCCTGCTCCTGTAGTCTTTTTCTCAGAAACGTTCCTGGATGCATGTTTAGATGAGGAACATTCCATCTACTGAGCTGCGATTCCCTCCAAAACTCTTTAGGTCAGTGTTTCTGCAGTGAAAGGGTTTCCCCTAACTGCGATGGTCCTCACACCGGTGACCATCGCCCATGGAATTGAAGGCATTAGGGCAAATGGCCCTCTGGAAGACCTGGGCAAGAGATTACCTTCAAATGTATGGGCATCCCTTGAAAACAAAAAAAAATTCACACTGCTGGAAACATACTTGATGTTGTCACAGCTACTCCCTTTATGGAGTGATCTCTGTGTCTCAAAGCATCCATCTGCACATGAGGACGATAGAGGCCACAGAATTTCCTAGGAAGATATGGGCAACAATGAGAATTTGGCAAACTGCTGAGCTAATTTCTGTACCATATTGTTCCCTGAAAAGCAAAGAATGTTTGAGACCCCAGAAAAGTTATTCACCTCATCGTGCTTGGAGAATCCCGATCTCCATATAAGCTAACCCACACAGTAAATAGAACACTCAAGATAAAAGAAGCCTTAGGAAGAAGTCTTCATTATTTTACAAACAGAGACATGAGACTGGCAATTCT